TCATTCAAACTTCATCATCATGTGGACAATGTATGTTATGTTGTTGTTATTGTTGTTTTGTTGTTGTTGATGATGTTAATGTTGCTGCTGCTATTTGATCATCATCCATCTGATAGTTTCATTCATTTTTTGGAAAGTTGAAACAGTTCATGTCCCTTGCGATATTTTGTTTGTTACTCTCAGTTTCACTTCACTTAATCGCACTCAAACTTTCATTTCATTTAAAAAAGTGCAGATGGTGACGTTACAATTGTAAAAACCTACCGAAACTGCTGAACTGATATACTTCTCATTCGCTGCTTCCTTCTGTCATCATATCGTTGGAACTTGCTTAGCGACTGTTTCAAGTAGATGTCTTCTTACGACGACGACGACGAGTACATTATATATTAGTTGAGATTGCTTGTTGAGTAGGTGATGAATCTGGCGAGGTTTTAAAAGTGGTGATTAAGTTGATAGCAGCGATATGATAACGATATTTTAAGGTGTCTCGTTTCTGGATGCTTCTTTTTCAGTTAATAACTACTCGTTTTTATAACCACTAACCAGTTTTTTTGTCATCCAACAACAACGAGTTTCACGCCAACGCTCTAACAAGTTCCCATTGAATAATCCATTCTTAACACATACACAAACGCATGAGCACCGGAAATGGTTTCCGGTGCTCATGTTGATGCATATTATAATATAATGTGTCGTCTATTTACTATATTCTTCTTTGAATGCTGCAAAATTTCTTCAAATGCGTTCACTGGACTCGTTCGTTCGTATTGCTCACAAATATGACAACACTACTACCGAGCGATAAAATTAATGAGCGCAAGTATGACAATCGAAGTTATAGTATCAGTGATAAATGATGTTTTAATAGGAGTGGTACTATCCGTAGTAATAATAACGATGATCATTTCATGCAGAATAACGATGCTAACCACTGTAGTAAATAAGTCTGTTGGAACAATTGTACTAACATAGTAGCGAATCTGACCTTATACTCAAAACAATATGTTCTATTGAAACGAATGTATTGGAGTGATCGTCATATCAGTGGTGATTATGATTAATACATCAATGACGAAATAGTAAAAATAATCATCACAATAACAAAAGTCATAATAAGTTTTGTGATAGTCACTTTTAAATGATCATTCAAATGATTATTGCTTAGAGAAACGAATAGCAGTTTGTTTGATTGTGTGAAATGAGTGGNTCATATCAGTGGTGATTATGATTAATACATCAATGACGAAATAGTAAAAATAATCATCACAATAACAGAAGCCATAATAATAAGTTTTGTGATAGTCACTTTTAAGTGATCATTCAAGATTATTGCTTAGAGAAACGAATAGCAGTTTGTTTGATTGTGTGAAATGAGTGGGAATTTCAGGCACGGCGATGACCTGATCGTGACACCATTTGCACAGTTGCTAGCAAGTCTGAAAAACGTGCGAAGTAATCTGATTGCGATCGCTAATCTACCGGCAAACGATGAAACGCATCGATCCACAACACCTAAACGACCACCGTTGCATAGTGTGCAACTTCCCGAAGAGGTCACACAGTGTGCTCAGGAGACGTTGGACGAACTGGACTGGTGTCTGGAACAGTTGGAAACCATTCAGACACATCGCTCGGTCTCCGAAATGGCATCCAGTAAGGTGAATGACTTATGCATAATTGTGCTACTCCAACAATTTTTATTTTTCAAATGATACGCTTCAAAAGAACCAAGTAAATTCTCACTAATTACTTCATCTGATTGCTGTGAAGCAATCGCAGTCTTCTCATGTGATGTTTTCGAATGTGTTTTGATTGATATTTTGATTGAATGATACTTCAAAGAATCATTCCGTGCTTCCTGATGAAATGAGGTGCTATGAAACCGTATAGATTATCTGAACCGCACATCAGATACCAGGTTTATCCACGACTTGGATTCACTGCTTTGTCTCAGCAATTAATAGGTAGATTTCATAAAAGAGATAATTTTGAATGAACAGCGAGTGCAGCAGCGTTAGAACGAAAGTACAAATCACTGAGTGCTGCTGTCGAATAAGCGAATTTTCGATCATCGACAATAGTCAGGTGAATCAAGAACTGCAGAGATTGTTGGCCTTCTTGAAGACATTATTCCGGGGGAAGGGTGTTTCTTCCGGTTTGTTCCACCACTCAAACACACTTCAGTTGGTCATTCACAAACGTTCCCTTGCCAGTGGGAAAGTAATTGAATCAATTGAATTGCTTGTGCTGAAACTCGATTATGGATTACGACTACTGATGAGTGCGTGCGTGCTTGATGTGTGTACTATTGAAGAGGTTCCATACGATTTATCTCTATCGAATATGGTAGTTCGATATTTTCCATGCATAAATCTGTAAACAATCTACGTTCAATTAGCTGTTTGAGTTGACTTTGTTGGTGACAAAACTGTTGAGAATAGCTCAGTGAAGCGAGAAATATTTATTTTAAGCAGTCAGCTACTGATTAGCACAAGTTTCATATTGTTTTATTCACTTAAACCTTGATCGTTGAAAGCATTGAGTGTCTGATGGTGAGTATCATTCTTAGCCTATGAAGTAAGAGAGGGAGTAAAGTGTCTAAATCGCATGGTCGTTAATTGGGATTAATGATAAATGGAATGATATAATCACTAGTGAAACTATGTGCCGTATTCCTCTAAAGCCTCAGAATAATTTGAAAAGAGGACGACACCTGCTAAATTTTGAGTGGACTAGCAGTGAAAATCAATGCGATCACATTATTTGTGCTTACTCATTAAGCGTTCATTAAACTTTAGAATGATATCAAATGGTTTGTGTTCGAATACTATGCTTTAATTACATTACAATGACAACAATATTCACTGAACACTCGATCGTAATTTTGTTTTTCTTTATTCGTTTCGATGGAACTAGAAATTGATTTTCGAAACAAAGCAGTGGATAAAGTGGGATCGAATTATCTGCTATGGTGTAATGGCTTAAACGTTGCTTTCTATCGTTTCACCTAGGTGTGACACGATGCATTGATCCCTTTCCCTCGAATGATACATGAAATGGATTGGTTTTTCCGAGTTATATAGATTTTTCCTTAAGGTTTGGGTTTTCATGGACATTCGGTTTAACGATTCTGTTCGGGATAGAAAAAAGAAAAAGGATAGATTTCCTAAAA